AGGCTTTGAATCACTACAAGTTCTTGAGAGTATACAGAAATTTCCTTAGGAGAATAAAAGCAGAGAAGGAGTTTGAAGGAGGGACGTGGGAAGGTTCGGTTCATGAAGTGAGAGGAAAAACAGAAAGACTGGCACTGTGGCCTAGAGGGTAAAGCCTGCAGTGCCAGCATCCCATATGGGTGCTGGTTTGAGTCCCAGCTGCTCCACTTCTGACCCAGATCCCTACTATGTCCTGAGAAAGCAGTAGAAGGTAGCCCAAGTCTGTGGGCCCCTGCACCCACATGGGAGACCCAGAAGAAGCTCCTGGCTTCAGATTGGCACAGCTACAGCCATTGCAGCCAACTGGGGAGTGAACCAGCAGATGGAAGACCTCTCTCTGTCTCTGCCTCTCCTTCTCTCCCTGTGTAACTCCAACTTTCAAATAGATAAATAAATCTTAAAAAACAAAAACAAAAACAAAACATAGCTCCAGGCCCACACACAGTAGAAAGTAAGGAAGGGTTTCAAGCCATAGTTCAATCTGTGCATTGCTATCAGGATGATTTCTTTGAGCTACTTCTCTTCGTTCTTATATCATGACACTCAAGCCTCAAAATCTAGAGGAATCTAGTTGGTTGAAGTTGGATCACACATCCATCACTTGGATTGGCCCTTTCCATGGGAGACAAGTCATTTCTCCAGGAAATGGGATTCTCAAAAGGAAAAATAAAGGTGTTATCAATGAAGAAGGGAAACTCAGTGCTTGGCAATAAAACACTACTAAATATCCAAATTAAAAAACTACTTTAGGGACTAAAACTCTAACATAATAGGAAAGAGAAATCTTAAGAATCTTATTTAAGCATATTGGATTTGAAATCAAGGGCAACACATTTTGACAAGTATATCCTGTCTCCTATTCATGTTTTCCATATAATTCAGGGTTTTCCTTCCATGTTAAATTACTTAGGAAGCCATCTTTTTAACAGAAAAAAAAAACAAATGTTTGGAAGAAGTCACAAAAAAACTTTAAAAAAAAAAAACAAATAAATATGCTACACATACATTCACACCTATAATTACAGACATGGTTGTTAGTTTAGGAACTATTCTTTGAAACAGAGATCCTTTACCCTTGCAAAGAGCAGGTCCTCCACAACTGTGTAATAAAGGCAGAAATCTATAATGTGATTCTAAAAATATGACTTCCAAGAAAATGTTTATGGGTAGGAAAGACAGATGCATCAGCATAAAAGAGCTTTCACACAGAACACGATGACTTGTTTTTCCTTCTACTGATTCTAGAAACGGCTTTCAGTTTCATTGTAACTACAGTCAGAAGAATTGATGATTTTCATTGGCACATCTCTTTGCTCCTGGAACTGCTTGTTAATAGTGGCTGTGAAATGTTATTCTGTGCTATCAAAAAAAAAAGTAATATAGAGCAAGTGATACTGGCATAAGGATGGACTTCTATGTCGCCGAAAGCAGCTAACTGAAACTGGCATTGAAGGTGGTGAAGGAAGTCGCTAGCAGCAGAACACAGAGAGGAGTAAGCAGAGTTGAATTTATTAAAAAAATAAAAAATAAAAAAACACTGCAAGGGAGCATTGGATGAGCAGGTCAGCAAGAAAGATGCCTGCTGCTGCCATATGCTGCAAGGAGCAGAAGTCGAGCAGGGCAGCTAGAAGCTGACTACTGCTGCAACATGGATTATTATCTGGGAGATATGTACCTAATTTTTTAAAAATGCAAATCAAAACTACAATAGATACACTTCAAATCCCCAAAAATGACTACAAACCACCCACAGTAAATGTTGACAAGGATATAGAAGAATTGAATTTCTCTTACATTGCTACTGAGACTGTAAAATGGTACACCCACTTTGGAAAGCAGTTTGGCTGTTCCTTTCAATGCTACACATATGATTATGTTAATATTAAACCATAGAATCTAATAATTCTAGTAGATAAGAGAAATAAAGGCATATGTCCACACAAAAACTATGCATGAATGTACCTACCAGCATTATGTACAATAGCTTAAAGGTGGAAACAGTCCAAATCTCTATCCACTGGTGGATTTTTAATGAGGTGTACATATGCAATGGAATAATATTTAGCAATATACAAGAAAGAATGAGGTACTGACACATGCAAGAAGATGGATGACCCTTGAGAACATGCTAAATACAAGCAGTCAGTCACAAAGGGCAACCTGGTGAGAATGATTCCTCTTCTATGAAATGTCCTGAGTATGTAAATCCATAGGAACAAACCAGTAGTACCCAGGGGCTTCGATATAAATATACTGCATGTGGCTCTCATGGGCATAAGGCTTCCTCTGAGGGTAATGACAATGTTCTGAAATTGGATGGTAGTAACGACTGTCCTATGACTATGTTCTTGAATGTGTAAAAACCCACTGAAATACATACCTTAAAAGTTTCAATTTTTTATTTTAAATCTTACAATAAATGAAAACACACAGTATTTACCTATCTGTATCTGACTTATTTCACTCAACCCGTCTTCCAGTTTCATCCATTTTGCTGCAAATGACTTAATTTCATTCTTTTTTATAGCTGAATAATATTTCATTTTGTATGTATTTTTTTAATCCATTCATCTGATAATGGACTTGGTTGAGTCTATATTTTGGCTGTTGTGAATAGTGTTGTTATAAACATGGTAGTGCAGATACCTCTTTGATATAATGAGTTCATGTCTTTTGGGAACAAATCCAGTAGTGGAATACTGGCTCACATGACAGGTCCATTTCTGGTTTTTTCTTAATGGTATACAAATTACATCTCAATAAACTTGCTACTTAAGAAAAATCAGAGTCAGTAATCATCTCTCTGAGATGGTAAATTTATGGGATGACTTGTAGTTTTCCAAACTTCATGTTTTCAGACATTTCTATAACTGTGTGTACAATCTATCCTTTGTCTACGATCTTCTACCCATGTTCCCTTCCCGTGACTATTCTGCCCTGATATTTTCCTATTCTTCCTTCATGAATTGGTTCAAACTTCACCTGTACTACAAAGACTTCTTGATACCTCACTGAACGTTCAGCTTCATTCAGCTGAAGGCCCACTTATGCATCCCAGCACATGGTTATAATCTGTTTCTATGCCTATGTCCCACTGGTGTGTAAGCTTCTTCCAGTAAATTTATCTTTGTGTTTTGAGGTCTGGCACAGTGCCTGGTACATTTCTAAGGTCATTTAAAAATGTTTACTAACTGAAGCCAAGACACTCTGAAAAAAAAAAAAATGACCTAAATGAAAGATCTCTGTGAGTGAGATCCCAGTGGAAAGAACAGGTCTTCAAAGAAGGAGGTACCTTTCTCTGAAGGGAGGAGAGAACCTCCACTTTGAATATGACCTTGTCTAAACAAGATAAGAGTCGGTGAACTCAAAAGGCTTCCATAGCCTTGGAAACTCATGACTGGTGCATAGGGAGATTACTGATGCCATAAACAGGAGTGTCAATTTGTAAAGTCAACAACAGGAGTCACTGTGCACTTACTCCTCATGTAGGATCTCTGTCCTTAATGTGCTGTACATTGAGACTTAATGCTATAATGAGTACTCAAACAGTATATTTCGCTTTGTGTTTCTATGGGGGTGCAAACTGTTGAAATCTTTACTTAATGTATACTAAACTGATCTTCTGTAAAAAAAAAAAAAAAAGAAGAAGAAATTATCAATTCCCAACTTGACTCTCACTGGGATTAAACATGACAATAGGTCTGATCTGATTTCATCATCATTTAAAAAATCATCTATTATTTTTCACTTTATGTTTGTGTGGGAGCAAACTGTTGAAATCTTTACTTAATGTATGCTAAACTGATCTTCTGTATATAAAGAGAATTGAAAATGAATCCTCATGTGAATGGAAGGGGAGAGGGAGTGGGAAAGGGGAGGGTTGTGGGTGGGAGGGACGTTATGGGGGGGAAGCCATTGTAATCCATAAGCTGTACTTTGGAAATTTATATTCATTAAATAAAAGTTAAAAACAAACTACTTAAAAAAATGTTTACTAACTGAATAATTAAATAAATGAAGGCTTGAAGACAGAAAACGAAACAAAAGCCTAACTCTAGAGGAACGATTATGTAACGTTAGGGTGTATTCAGATCACTTACAGTGTGTTGGATTTAAACTTTAAAAGCTTTTATATGTTCAAGTCAAATTGCCTATGGAAATCAAGCTACCACAAATAAATATTTGCTTTCTAAATATGAGTTGCTAACTTAGCTTTCACTTGTCCCAGGACAAGTTGAGCTTCCAAAGAAAGGCAAGAAATTGAGCTTGCCACATGGAATACACTTGCAAAACTGATCAACTAGATTATAAGATCCTGAATCATTTTATTGTTGTGCATTGGTCAATAGAGCCAAACTACTTTAAGGATTGAATGATGGGTCTATTATGGTGATAAATAAGACCACAGATGAATAAATGTTAACCAGATATTAGCCTTCCAAAACAGGATTGCCCTGCATCTTAACGTTACTTTGTAGAAGAAGAGATAAAAGGAAAATAATTCCAGGACTAGAAAATCATGTGTAAAAGTGAGAATATGTGTGGTAAATTGAAGAAGCCAATGTGGCTAGTGCATGATGAACATGAGACAGCAGCTCTTGATAGTTAACATGATTCTGTTAGACAGAACTATTGGTCTTAATTCCTCATCTCACTTCCCTAAACAGCAGGAGCGATCTTCAAAAGTTCATGGAAAACTATTAATATGGAAAAACAATGCATGGATTTCAAATTATTTTTGTTCCAAAATAAACTTAGCTTGCAATTAGATTTATCAGTGAATTTCTTGCAGTGCCCTCACAGGCTGCAAGGTCACCTTTGCCAGGGTCTCAAAGATGGAGTCTATATTCACCCAACCCATGATTTTGGGCTTAACAGAAAGTTGGTCAATGGAAAGACAGAAGTGATCTTAATTGTCATTTTCTAGAAAGTCAAAATGGAAACAGTGTGTTCCTGCTTACCTTCCTGGAGTTGTACCCTCCATGTAGAGTCCTAAAATTACATCAGGCTCCAGCCCACCAGTAGACATGAGAGCAACAGCGTTAGTATTGGTTAATTATATAGCATTCCCATGGCAATGGTAAGCTGATATCACCGTCAATTCTCATCAGCCACATTTTTATCCATTTTTCACTTTAAAAAAAAACAGGATGTATTTATTTGAAAGGTAGAGTTAGAGAGAGAAAGAGAAAAAGAGAAAAAAAAAGAGAGAAAGAGAGAGAGAGAGAGAGAGAGAGAATGTCTTCCATCCACTGGTACACTCCCCAAATGGCTGCAATGACCAGTGCTGGGCCAGGCTGAAGCCAGAAGCCAGGAGCTTCTTCTGGGTCACTCATGTGGGTGCAGGGGCCCAACTGCTTGGGCTATCCTCTGCTGGTTTCCAGGCACACTAGCAGGGAGCTGAATGGGAAGTGGAGCAGCTGGGACTCAAACCAGCACCTACATGGGATGTTGGCATTGCAGGCAGTGGCTTAACCCAATGCCAGTCCCTCTATTTTTCACTTTTTAAAGACTTTTTGGGGCTGGCACTGTGACATAGTGGGTAAAGCCACCATCTGTAGCACTGTCATCCCATGTGGGCACCAGTTTGAAACTCGGATGCTCCATTTCCAATCCAGCTTCTTGCTAATTCCCCTGGGAAAGCGGCAGCAGGAGGCCCCAGTGCTTGGGCCACTGCACCTACATGGGAGACATGGATGAAAGTCCAAGCTTCTACCTTTGCACTGCCCCAGCCCTCACCATTGTGGCCATTTGTGGAGTGAACTGGCAAACTGAAGGTGAACCAATTTCACTCACTTAACTCTCTCTCCTTCTCTTTTTTAACTATACTTTTCAAATAAACCAAATCTCTTACAAAACCACTTTCTTATTGTTCATATAATATACAGTTGCCAAGTCATTCCTGGAAATGGATGGTTGTTTTCAACTCATAATTAAGCAAACAGGAGTCCAAGTAACTCTATTTGGAAAACATAAACCTTATCTGACCACATGTCTGATTTGTTCCAGCCATTTGTTTAGTTGAAAGAAAGCTAAATTCTCATCTCTTTTCCACCTTTTCACCAGGACGTCTGTGATTTCAGTTTTGTAGTTGCAAGTTTCTACATAACTGAAAATACACACACACACAGAACTCCCTGGCTTGTGGTTTACATTTTGATACTTTGGAATGTGAGTACTAGTCATTCAAAAGATGAAAGATTTCTCAACAAAGTAAAACCACCAAAGGTAGTGTGAAGTTATTTTATAAATAAACCTGATTCATGCTCATTTTCTCAGGTTATAGTTCTTAAGCTAAATTTCTCAAAAAGATTTAAAGAATATGTATCCCAAACTTGAACTTAATAGGTATGCAAATAGAAGATTAATCTTATCATTTGTGGTGAGACATGTCGTAGGACTTGTTGCTTGGGAATATAAATCCTAAAACATTTCTGAAAATAGAGCAATTATTCAGCATGACATTGAGTGTGGTTCCACACAACACAACAAGCAATATAGATCCATGAAACAAAAGGTTTAAGTATTGCCCAAAGTGATTGTACCCTAAACAATGACTTTAAAAATTAATTCTTCTGGGAGCCACACATAGTGGGCCTCCGAACGCAGCCTGGCCAATTAGTGTACCCATCCCTGTGCCTTGGTGATTGTTAGAGATGGATGTAGACCTAAATTGGATTTTCCTATTGAAGATGAAACGGAAGTTGGCTGCTGACAGTCAGGGCTGCCGATCTGCTAAGATGTGTGAGATGTCTACCTGGACCCCACAAGGAGAATGAGCAAGCCAAGCACAGGCAGGCAGCTTGGAGAACAGAGGGTTGGTCTGCCACCACTTTTTCCAGCCCTTGGTCTCCAGTGTTGACAATAAACAAGATACAATTCTTTTAACTGTACATAGAAACAGGGAGACTGGATGTTTAGGTAAGCTTTCCTTAACATGGTTTCCTGTAAAACTTGACCAACAAAAGATGCCAGTGTGCTGCAGGTCATGCTATAGGATGCTGGAACACATCAGTCCTCTCATCCTATCAGACTCACTCTATCTTTTGTAGGGGAGGTTCTGGAATTGTTAAGTAGATTTTAGAAGGAAATCTTAACTTAAGGTTAATTTTGTTTTCACTTCATTGAAGGAACCCAATCTACTGAGCCCTGAACTCTGCTGTTTATAACCATCCTTCCATCAGCTCTTCCTCTTCCAATTCACTCACCTCATCCACTTTGGTTCGTGTTTCCCGACTCAAGATGCAGTCTGTGACTTGCATAGGTTGGCTACACATGCATAGGTTGACATGCATAGGTTGGCCGCACATGAAATTTCTTTCACAAGATTCAGAGCATACACAAGCTAAGCCTAGAAATGCAAAATCAAAGATATTTTCAGGGGAAACAAAAGCTTTTGAATCATGCAGTCTATCCAGAGTCCTGAGAGTGTACTTGGAATGAAAAGAGCATGCTTAGAGAAGGTGGTACAAGGTAACAACAAAGATAGGAAAGAGGAAAAAAAAATAGGAAGTGGATTTTATTAAACCTTGGATGTGCCATTGAGTATTTCTACAGCGGATGCCTGTTGAAAACAAAGGATTATACAGTTATCTGTTTTTATCTGAGATGTTCCAGGCATTTGAAGAGAGACTCGGTCATAGTCAGCTAAATCAGTAAATACTTCTGAACACCTGCTGAGTGCTAGGGACACAATAATTAACTAGAATCTTTCTCACTTTTTCTCCGTGCTTGATTTTGCGCTGACCCCATTATCCTGGAGTAGGATACAGTATGTTTGTCTAAGATCCTTAAAGCCGAGGCATGAAACTTGATGATTGATCATATGTAAATACCACAGTCAACTCAGAAAATCAAAGAACTGTCTGAACATGAAGAACAGGTGCCAGGGAAGAAAAAATATCAGATACTCAGTTCATAAGGGATGGCAAGCATTTGCTCTCCCATTGCAAACTGCCCCAAATTGAAGCCTTAATCTGTGACTCCCCTTCAGGAATCAAAGAAAGGATGAAGTGGTGAGGAGTGCATTGCACAGTCACCACAACGGAACATCCAAGTCTGACCTCTGTTCCTGTACCTCTAGCCTGAGAGAGTAAGGAACAGTCACAATCTGGGAGAGATGTTTCTCCTTTCTGGGTTGGATATGGACAATCAGCTAGAGAGGAGTATCTAAGTAATATTATATCTATTTTGGAGACAAGAGCCCTTTATTCTTTATTGACCAAGAACAGGGAACTGGTATATGCATACACCATTTGACAAGGACAACAAAAACTATTGCTTACTGTGTATGGTAACATGCATACATTAGGTACTCAGAATGTATCTGAGTGAAAGGAAATCCTATGTTAAATACATCAGTCAGGTGATGCACCCCTGAATTACCAGAAGATGGTCATAAGTGAAATCAACTGAAAAAAAAAAACAAAATCATCTAGTGCAGCAGTTCTCAAACATTAAATCTTCAGACCTCTCGACATTCTTAAAAGACTCTTTGTATTCCTTGGTCATTTTTTTTCATGTGATTATGTCTGTATTTACCATATTAGATACCAAAACTGACAAAGTTATAAACATACATTTCATTAACCATCAGAACAAAGGCATCATCTCACATCGTAGAGCTTCTATAACACTCCACTGTGCACTTCTGAATGTGAAAATGACAAATACGGTCTTAGCACCATTGTGAAAATAGTATTGATTTCATGAACCCTCCCCCCCTAAAAGAGACATCCCTAAGGGTTTCTGAACCGCAGTTTAAGAATCCCCGATCTGCAGTTTTCAGAAGCAGTAAGATTTTCTGGGAAACTAAGCAATTTCTATGGAATATTAAATTCCCTGAAACAGTTAGTTGTAGCATATGTTCACATCATTTATGCCTGGATTTTTAGTTATCACAGAAGTTGAATTTAGCTTCTATTCACTTCCATTTATGTATTCAGTGAATCAAGACAAAAATCTGTAGAGGATAGACCCTAGCCTGCTATGAAAAGAGATTATTGTTTTGCACTGTTGGTTTTTTCTTTAAATCTTTCCAATAACTGCATACCATTTTCCTTTTCAAGACCTCTTTGACCCTTCTGTGAACAGGTTAGTATTACGAGCTTCATTAAAAATTCCATGTTTTGTTTGAGTACTCGTTATAGCATTAAATCTCAATGCACAGCACATTAAGGACAGAGATCCTACATGAGGAGTAAGTGCACAGTGACTCCTGTTGTTGACTTTACCAATTGACACTCCTGTCTATGGCATCAGCAATCCCCCTATGCTCCAGTCATGAGTTTCCAAGGCTATGGAAGCCCCTTGAGTTCTCCGACTCTTATCTTGTTTAGACAAGGTCATAGTCAAAGTGGAGGTTCTCTCCTCCCTTCAGAGAAAGGTACCTCCTTCTTTGAAGACCTGTTTTTTCCACTGAGATCTCACTCACAGAGATCTTTTGCCAGAGTGTCTTGGCTTTCCATGCCTGAAATACTCTCATGGGCTTTTCAGCCAGATCCGAATGCCTTTAGGGCTGATTCTGAGGCCAGAGTGCTATTTAGGACATCTGCCATTCTATGAGTCTGCTGAGTATCTCACTTCCCATGTTGGATCACTCTCCCCTTTATTTATTCTATCGGTTAGTGTTAGCAGGTACTAGACTTGCTTATGTGCTCCCTTTGACTCTTAGTCCTTTCATTATGATCAATTGTGAACTGAAATTGATCACTTGGACTAGTGAGATGGCATTGGTACATGCCACCTTGATGGGATTAAATTGGAGTCCCCTGGTATGTTTCTAACTCTACCATTTGGGGCAAGTCAGCTTGAGCATGTCCCAAATTATATATCTCTTCCCTCTCTTATTCCTACTCTTATGTTTAACAGGGATCACATTTCAGTTAAATTTCAACACTTAAGAATAACTGTGTATTAATTACAGAATTAAACCAGTCATATTAAGTAGAACAGACAAAAAAACTACTAAGAGGGATAATATATTAAGTTGTTCATTAACAGTCAGGGCTATGCTGATCAAGTCACCGTTTCCCATAGTGTCCATTCCACTTCAACAGGTTTCCTTTTTGGTGTTCAGTCAGTCGTCACCGATCAGGGAGAACATATGATCTTTGTCCCTTTGGGACTGGCTTATTTCACTCAGCATGATGTGTTCCAGATTCCTCCATTTTGTTGCAAATGACTGGATTTCGTTGTTTCTTACTGCGGTATAGTATTCTAAAGAGTACATATCCCATAATTTCTTTATCCAGTCTACCGTTGATGGGCATTTAGGTTGGTTCCAGGTCTTAGCTATTGTGAATTGAGCTGCAATAAACATTAGGGTGCAGACCGCTTTTTTGTTTGCCAATTTAAATTCCTTTGGGTAAATTCCAAGGAGTGGGATGGCTGGGTCGAACGGTAGGGTTATCTTCAGGTTTCTGAGGGATCTCCAGACTGACTTCCATATATTTCACTTTGTGTTTCTATGGGGGTGCAAACTGTTGAAATCTTTACTTAATGCATACTAAACTGATCCTCTGTAAAAAAAAAAAAAGAAAAAGAAAAAGAAAAAGAAAAGAAAAGAAACTATCAACTCCCAACTTGACTCTCACTGGGATTAAACATGACAATAGGTCTGATCTGATTTCATCATCATTTAAAAAAAATCATCTATTATTTTTCACTTTATGTTTCTGTGTGGGAGCAAACTGTTGAAATCCTTACTTAAGGTATACTAAGCTGATCTTCTGTATATTAAGATAATCGAAAATGAATCTTGATGTGAATGGAAGGGGAGAGGGAGTGGGAAAGGGGAGGGTTGTGGGTGGGAGGGACGGTATGGGGGGGAAGCCATAGTAATCCATTATTCGTACTTTGGAAACTTATATTCATTAAATAAAAGTTAAAAAAAAAATTCCATGTTTTTCCTTTGCTAGATATTGTACAAGATTACCTTTCAATAAAGAAAGGGTGATTTATTTGAAGACAAAATTTCAGGACAGTGACTTGAATAAGCAGAAAGCGTTATAGCTGGACATAATGGAAGAATGTCTCTGATCAGGAAGCAGACTTAAGACCCAGGGACAGAAAGAAACCATCTCACTCTTTTTCCTGGGCAGTTAGAAAAGCAATTTGCTTTCTTCTTCTATCATGTTTACTGGCTTCATTTCTGTAGATGACCTTGGCTTTAAAGATGTTATCAGACCTGAAAAACTCTTTTCTAGTAGCAATGTGAGTTAGCCCTGAGGCTACCATTTAGTTTTAGCTAATTCCAACCAAAGTTAAGTACACAGGAAAGCTATTTCCTCTGGCCATCTTACCAAGTAATCATTTTGCTGAAAGATGGGATCTTCTCTGGTAACACATTACTTTGTATTGACTTTACTGGACCAAGTCCTCTACCACACCCCAATGCATACACACACACACACACAAACAATCCACATTTTTGCTGATGTTCGAAGTGTGGAGCAAAACACCTGCAGTATTCCCCATGATGGTTTCAGGTCCACTAATTATTTGGCAAATTGATTTTTTAGCCAATGGATATAAAAAATAAAGTTTATGATGTGTCTACCATTATGAAAATTTGCAATTCCTCGCCTGCTGTTCTGTAGGTATCTGGGTAAGATGAGTCCCTGAAAACGGCTAGAGAAATGTGCAGTCTGCCTGAGCATGCCTACAGCAGCATGACAGCAGCAGCGGGACGCAAAGGGAAGACATTCCACTGGACAACAAGAATCTCTTTCCATGCACCCATTGCATTGGCTTCCTTTGTGCTCAGCCTCAATTTCCACATCTGTAGAATAGTAATAATGACCTATCAGGGCTGTTGGAAAGCCTAAAGGCAATTGGGACAGGCATTGTGGCACAGCAGGGTAAGCTGCCACTTGGTACACCCACATCCCATATTGAAGTGCCAGTTTGAGTCCTAGCTATCCTGCTTCTGATCAAGCTCTTTCTACATTTGTCTAGAAAGCAGCAGCTGATGGCTTAGGCAGTTGACTTCCTGCCGTCCACATGGGACACTCAGTTGGCTCCTGATTTCAGCCTGGCCCAGCCAGGAAGGAGTGAACCCATGGATGGAAGATCAATCTCTCTCTCTCTCTTTCTCCTTTTTAAATAAACAAAATAAATCGTACCAAAAAAAAAAAAAAAAGTTAATGTGATATGTGAAGCCCATGGTAAAATGGCTGGCCCAAAGTGAGCAATCAATCCCTACTGATATCATCAGTACTATTATCATCATTAATGCCCACATTTCCCCAACTCTCTAGCCACTGTACTTGACTAGTTCCTCTTTAACCTAAAACTTCACTTAAACATTACCTCCCCTAGCAAGCCTTCTCTTATCCCCTCAACTAGATTAGGGTCCCTGTTTACCCTAATCTCCACTCTTACAGCCATTTATTGCAAAGACTTTTTCAAGTGCATGCCTTTTCTTAGAATAAAAACTCTGGGGGAGGTGGGGAGTGGGGAGGTGCTAGGGCGTACTAGGTTGTATTATCCATATAGGCAGCGGTTCAAGTACCAGCTGCTCCACTTCTCATCTGGCTCCCTGATGATGGCCTGGGAAAGCAGTGGAAGATCATCCAGATACTTGCACACCTGTACCTGCATGAAGCTTCTGTTTCGGCCTGACCCAGCCCTGGACATTGCAGCCATTTGGGGAGTGAACCAGTGGTTGGAAGACCTTTCTCTCTCCCCCTCTCTGTGTCTGTAAATATACCTCTAAAATATATAAATAAAATTTTTGAAAAAAACTTAGCATCCCCACATTAATTACTGTGACATCAGCAATCTCTAGTACTCTGCCCAGCGTGTTAGAGGTAGGTGGACGAATGAATGACGCATAGGCTGGGAGCATGGTGCTGTTTCAGGAGCAAAAGTTCCCAGTCCAGCCACTGGAGCACAGCCAGTGTGGAGGTGTACCCTAGAGACACAGATTCTGAAGCAAACCTCTGGTCCCAGCCTGCAGGCAAGACCCTTTGTTGAGTTTCTCCAGTAGAGCCCATAATCAGAAGAATGGCTTTCATTTTCTTATTCTCCGTCCCTTTGGCTCTCCCAGCTTCCAGGCATGGCCTCCCTGGGCCCCAAGGGAGCTGCTGCTTCAAGGAATTGCAGAGTCATGGTAGGTCCCCTGATGTAGGAGCAGAAAGCTTGAGCTCATTTTTCCATTACATGGCTGTCCTGGAGCCTCATCACCTCTCTAGCATTAGTCTCCTCTGGTGAAACAAGTGGGGCATCTCTTTTCAAAACTGTACAAAGTGACAGCAGGGTCTGCTTTCAAGCAAGTATCTTCTGAGAATCTGCTATGATGTGTTCCTTCTTCTCCTTCCTTTCTTCATTTAGCAAATATTGAGTATTTACTATGAACCAGAAACAGTTAGGTATTCAGTAATAAGGAGGTAGATATGCCTGCCTTTGTGCTGCTTACGATCTAGTAGGAAAGCAGGCTCACAAACAGGATACCTCCAGCCACTGACAAGGCAAAAGACCAATAAGTGGAACAAGATGATAGAATAACCAGGGATGGGATGCATGGTTTAGATCAGGTGGTCCAAGGAAGCCTCCCAAGGGGGTGACATTTGAGCCAGTGTGAAGGGATGAAGCCAGCTGTGAACAACAACGTGGGGACAAGTTCGGGGGTGAATTTCATTCCGAGAGAACAAAGAAGCATGATGATAGAAAACTAGTGGGTAAGAGCCAGTTTATTTTGGCCCATATGTGCCCCAGTAAGGGCTTTGCCCATGGCCGTGACTTCAAAGCAGGCCTAGGGAGAAGTTTCACAAGAGGAGTGACAGGCTCAGATTTATGTGTTTAAACGATTTCTGGTTGCTGTGCAGAAAATGAGTTCTTACATATCAGGTTCCAAATGCAACTTGAAAATAGTATGATTAATCTCCTAATCACAGGCAAAGCATTGCAAACATGGGCAACATTATATTTGCTGACAGTAAAGGGCACTTTTGCTAGCCCAAGCTGGTAACTATGTTAAACAGTTCCTAGTTAACTAAAATGAACAATGTTTCCTTGAGTCAGAAACATTTTTTTTTTCCAGAAACGATGGTGATTTTAATCACTGAAGAACTGAGAATTTACAATTCAAAAGCCTCCTGACATGGCAATAGCTTTTCAGCAGTTTAAAGGAAATTGCATGTTGTTCTATATATATAAGCAATTACAGTTTATTTCATTTTAATCGGTATATATATTGAATTTCCTACCCAGCAAGAGTGCTGTTAGGTTCTGTATCCTGAGTATTCAGCAAGGCCAGCTATCATGTTAAGAACAAAATGATAGCAAACAGAAAATGACCAAATATCTGTGTGAATGGCTGGCTTCTTTGACAGCCATATAGTACTTGGTCTCTTTCCAGGTCTTTGATATTACATTTTGAAAGCATTTAGATTTTAAAAATAAACTATAGTAATTAAACTTGTTCCTTGATTTTGAAATTAGGAAATTCCTTGCAGTTCACATATAAATAACACCTGTAATTGCTAATTCCATTCAAGCACTATAATACATACAATGTTTTCTGTTATCTCATTTGAGCCTCACAAAAACCCCTATAAGGATGGTGCTTTCATTTCCCCCATTTTTCAACTGAGAAAACTGAGATTCAGCAAGTCACGACACTTGCCAAAGATCACACAGCTGATGATTGCTGGAGCTGCTTTTTATTGTCTTTCAATTAGAAGGACAAGAAGCAAAAAGACAGTGTTCCACTGGGCACAAAATGAGGACAAACAGAAGGTATGCTAGGGCCGGGAGTGTGTTGGAAATAACATCTCACTGACTGGTTTCATACTTGAATATTCTTTGCAGTGTTCCCCCAAGGTATGAGAGGAGATGAGCTAACAGGCAAGTTGAAGGACTGCCACTGCTTTAATCATGTTGGACCAAAAATCACAAGGACAAATCAGCTCAGAAAGAGTTTTGCTGCCCTACCCCAAGCTACTGTGTGTTTTCGAATGTTGCATCTTTTAATCCAGTTCTACATATTGTCTATTCATGCAACATTTCTGTGCAAACCAAATAAAATGGATGGATAAGCAGTTGTCATGTGGATGTTCAAGATTTAGAATAACAACAACTCTAAGACTGTTTTGTTTCATAGTTCTCTTGGGTGGAAGACCAAAGTTCAGGGAAGAAAAACAGGAGACTAACAAAGAATTTTCCCTGAAATATACAGATAATGACCTCATTATGTATTTTAATTTGGCAATGGAGAGGCAGTCTGAGTTCTCTATTACTCAAGTTCTATTTGAAGAAACCAAAATTAATAAATCATGGTTTAGTGAGCACAGAAATGCCTCTTTGCAAGCCATTATAAGGGTTTTATAAAGTATTACTTCTCTAAATTCAACTCTAAGCCTTGCCCTGACCTCTGGTGAACCATTCTTTGTTAATCTCTTTGGGGCCTGCATGTTTGCTTTGAAACGTCTGTCT